GCATTCCGAGAAATATTTTCATGTGCCCTCCGCGAGCGGGATCTCCCTCTTTCCTACTTCTTTCTCCTCGCGTCTCCCTCTCGCACCTATCCTGTTCTGTTCGACGCAAGTTCGGCGGGCTGCGTTCTCGGGGGTGGATGCGATGCACCAGCACCGCCCGTGGGACCTCGGAGGGATAACCAGAGGTATCCAATGACCGAGAATCCCTGACGCGGTAGGTTCGACCGGATGAGGAATATACTGTTCATGCTTGCCGCCCATGGATTACGAGTGCTTTTAAGCTTATAAGCGAGTTGTTGAATTTATCGCCGTAAAATCGCGTTAAAAAGAGAGGGGAGGAACGAATCTAAAAAATGAGAAAATTATTCTATGAGAAGAGACGAGAGTGAAGCCACCTTGTTTTGTGATGAAAAAGCTTTCCGGTGTTTATGGAGTATTTTAAGGCCTAATCTCTCTACAATATATTCTACTTTCTTTTTTTTTCTTTTTATTTCTTGCCTTTTTGCTTCTTATCTTGTTTTTTTTTGTTTTCTGTTAACCGAAATAGAGACATCGAGTGACTTGCCGTTCGATGCGATTGACTCGCGATTTGTAGATCCGAGTTATTCAATCCCACCTGCGACCACATACGCGATTTTTCGCGTTTGAGAACCTGAAAATGGCTCCATCTGGTGATTAAGAGATCTTTGATCACCAGCGCTGTTCGGATCCGGCGTTAAACTGTCGGTCCCATATATCAGTGGATATACCTAAGTATGAATTCTCCAAGATGGGAGTTGGACATTAGGCTAACGACCTAATTCCGGAAAAAAATCCATTGTTACAGAAACCTCATGAGAGGTAGGCTTTGTCCCGCCTTGGGATGTTGCGTCATCGAATGAATGAAATGAATGAAATTCGAGATAAAAGTTAACGAACTTTAGAGGGGGAAAAACGTGATAAAAGAAACATATTTGTCGATAAAACGCAAAGAGGGAAAAAGACAAGTAAAAAAAACAAAAAATTTATTTTTTCAACAAGAGTGTTATCAGATTTTTTTGCTGTATTAAAGTGAATTTTAATCGCCTGACAAACTTTTTTTTAATTTTTTAATTAAACTCTTAATATTTAGCAAAACTTTTTAAGTTCGAAGAACGTATTAGTGGGAAAATCACGTGTTCAGTAACTTTTAAATATACATAAAATATAGATTTCCTTTTTCTCTTCTCATGAATTAGAAGACTTATCGGATTCCAAAATCGAATCGTAAAAAAATATAATATGTGGTCAATTGATAGCAAGCTTCAGGGTGACTCAGAACCCGGTTCGGAACAATGAGGTCGAGTTAACTCGCACGCAAATCCTAGAGGAACACATTCGAGACGTACGAAGAGACTGTACGTTCGTGCGAATGTATTCTTCTAATTCCGCGAAAGCCGGTCACTGTATTTCCCGGCACAATGTCTTGCCAAGGCACAAAGCTCGCGTTTACCGGTTCTGGGTGCGATCGACCGACCCGAGTCGATCTATTCGAGAGACTTCGCGTCTCAATGAATAACCCTCGCCCATAGAGATCTGCGTATACGATGCCGAACTGAATCTTATTCCTCGAAACCGTACCGGAGACGCTTTCATGCGGTAGAGAAAAGAAAGAGAGAGAGAGAGGTGACCGCTTCTTTCATCATTCAGTCAAACATCCGCAGAGTAAATTCTTTAATCTATAATTATATTAATTACTATAATTAATAATATAATTATAATAATTATATTAATTATTATAATAAATATAATTAAATGAATTTTTTTCCGTTGATTTTTAATTATACATATATATATAATTAAATTAAATATTAATATTAAATCTATTTTATAGAGTCACAAATAGGGTGGAAGATATCCAGAACTGTCTTGAAGAATATAGGATAAATTCTTAAATATACCTACAATTATATTAATTATTATTATAGTAATTGTTATAATAAATAAATAAATTTCGTTTTAATTCATAAATTATTAAAACAAAATTTAGTAATAATATTAAATCTATTTTAAAAAGAGTAGCAAGTAGGGAAGGGGATATCTAGGGTTGTGTTTGAAGAATGTTTTTGAGGAATGAAACAGATTTCTTGAACTCCGCGTATCAATCACCCCGCAATTCATTACCGCGATTAGCGAATTTATAGCGGTAATCGTCAAAGAAATGGCTTTGTAGAAGAGATATACGAGATACCGGAAGGTCTCAAACAATATTAATTCTTTATTTTTTATCTGTGCGTATTTTCGAACAAAAGTGACAATTAAGGACTTTTCCCATTTATTTTTATGCACATCTTTTTATTTTGCGAATTTAAGCGGGATATGTGAATACTCTTTTAATATAATCCTTTCCTTTTCGCGAAGAAAAAGAAAAACAGAACGAAGTAAAATCGTAATAATATATCAGACGCGCAGCCGTGTGAGATTCCGATTCTTTTAGGAAAAATATAAAAATTGCGAATATAATTCAGCTATCACAACTATTATAGCTATTATTGCGTTTGATGAATCAAACTTGAGAGTATTATAGAATTATTTGGAATGAATTCCCATTAGAATTATTCAATCATTCCCTAGATTTCTATTGTGTTTTCTAAGGATAATTAATAGATTAATTCCGATCGAAATCCATTCCGACTTGTTTCATGAGTCTAGATCTAGGATAGTGATCATGTATAACTTTTCTCTAGAGCGAAAATGTGAAAAATGATAAATTTATATATAATAACACAGTATGTATGTATACACGCATACATACAAAAAATTTTTACTTTTCACGTTTCCGCGCTTAGGAAAAAAGTTACACAATCGCTATCCATCTATGGAACAAGTCGGAATAATGGATTCCGATCAGAATTATTTAATTATTTCCTAGATTTCTCTATCATATTTTCTAGAGAAAACGGAATAATTCCTTAGATTTCTGTTGTGTTTTCTAAGGAAAATAGAATAATTCCGATCAGAATTCGTTCCGATATGTTCTATGATAGATATCCAGATTCGTTTTCGTTAACATTATCAATATACAGGGTGTCCCATTTTAATCCCTCACCCAAAATATTTTGAAAAATAAGTGTTTTAGAGAAAAATACTTCGGACAAAAGTTGTTCAAGACAATGGGGGCCATCTTTCTGCATTGTTGGTTTTGACCTTGAGGTCAATTTTCAAGGTTATTTGAAGGTTACGGTGATTTTTTTTAACGGGAACCCCTATTTTTGACACCGGATTCGGAAAGAGCGGGAAATTTTACGTCCGAAATGATAGTTAGATAATTTGCTAGAGTGACCTTCAGAAGGTCAAATGTTGAAAGTCGTCAAATGTTGTCAAATGTTGAATCGTCCAGAAGCTGTTTTCTTCGAATTGTAGGTTTATGGGCGAACAAATTCTTCGTAGAGTTGTTTACTGCTTCGTTATCCTTTTATAACTGCTTCGTTATCCTTTCAAGCTCTTTATCGCTCTTTTCAAAATATTTTGGGTGAGGGATTAAAATGGGACACCTTGTATATATATATATATATATTTCACTTTAAGTGTATGAACTACAGACTAGTTTAGTTATAAAAAAAACAGACATATTATGTAGACGCCTAACTTAAATGGGAATAAAGTAGATTTATCGCATTACATACACAGAAAAAAAAACTAAATTTAAGTAAATATTTTTTGAATAGTTCCAAGTAAATATTTAATAAATGTAAACATATATTTATTTGATACAAGAACCATTAATTTGATTTAATGTCATTTTCTTTTATCGAGCAAATATTTATTTATTTTAAATAAATGTTTATACTTGGAATTATTCAAAGAAATATTTACTCAGATTTAGTAATTTTTTTTTCAGTGTAGTCGTTACAGTACAGAACTTGCAGCAACATTGCTTACAACGCTTATAATGTTGTTGTAATATTGCTAGAATAAACTGTGCTGTATAGGAGCGTGGGAACGTTCCTTAAACGTTCAGAGAGCATGGAAATGTCTTCTAGATTTCTTTAGGACGTCTATTTGAGATCTATACTGTATAGGATATTTGCCAGACTGTGGTACATCGCGCTGGCCGGAGATAATCTCAATTACAAAAATGTGCTATTGACTCACCATTTTCTCCGCCATCGATGGTCTGATTTTGGAAAATATATCCCATACGAAAAACTATAGAGAAATCTATATAGGATGTGTTCCGAATTTACCGCCAGCACTGAAAATGCTATACAGTTAACATTATGTGCCTTATAGATTTTCAGTATACTACCAGTTAATTTTATACAGCCATAATATACGTATATACTATATAGTATTTCCGTATGCGATATTTTTCAAGAATTTACGCTCTAAGCTACTGCAATTCTCGCTTCCAGTTCCAACTTTCGACACCGGACGATTCCTGCTTAAGCAGATATATATACATTTTAATAGTTACAAAAATCGATATTTCGCGACGATGAGTTCTAGATTTGCTTACCATCCAAACTGCTTCGACATTGTATCCTCTTCTCACAGCCTAAATTATCGCAATTATATTAACGTGACGCATTAAAAACCGTACAACTGAACTCATTCGACGACTTATCAAATAGTTGAATAGCTACGTCGAGAATCGCAATCTCGCAAATTAGGCGAATCGATATCTCAGCACGATTGGCGCGGCGAACTGTGATTGACTGGCGTACGGTTGGCAGTACTGAACGCAGCCAAGCGACGCCTGCGTACAATGTACATACTTCACTCACTGACTCACGATTCAGTTTATACATCTTTCGACCTAACCTTCAAGAGCTGTGGTTTTGCTGTTCGCAAATTATACTTTAAGGCTGTAAATTTCAAGATCTAATCGTACACAAAACATAAAAAGCTAGTACTGCAAGATGTCGGAACGTAAGGTTTTGAATGTAAGTACGAGACGAATAATTGCTTTTCACACACTCGTGTTTATCTGTACGCTTTGATATCCTGTAATGTTGACCTTCATCTCTCTTATCTTTGTATATTTTAGAAATATTATCCGCCGGATTTCGATCCGTCGAAGATTCCGCGCATGAAATTGGCGAGAAATCGCCAGTACACCGTGCGATTGATGGCACCGTTTAATATGCGATGCAAGACATGCGGTGAATATATCTACAAGGGCAAGAAATTTAATGCGCGTAAGGAGGACGTCGAGGGCGACGATTACCTGGGCATACGCATTTACAGGTTCTACATTAAATGCACCCGCTGTCTGCAAGAGATATCCTTTAAGACAGATCCGAAGAACACGGATTACGAGATCGAGGCAGGTGCCACGAGAAATTTTATGGCATTGAAACTAGCTGAGGAACAGGCACAAAGGGAAGAGGACGAGGAGAAAGAGGAAGAGGCCACCAACCCGATGAAGCTCTTGGAAAAGAGAACACTCCAATCGAAGCAAGAACTGGAGCTGTTGGAATCTTTGGAGGAATTAAAAGATTTAAATCGGAGGCAGCAAACTATAGATTATGATCAAATGTTGGAACAGTATGACACCGAAGCTGCTAAACAGAGGACAGAAAAGGAACAAGAGGAATTGGATGAACAGTACATTAAATTTGTATTTGGCAAAAGACAATTAACTGGAACTGTTGTGGAAGAAGAAATCGAAGAGTTGGAAGAAGAAGAAGAAGAAGAAGAAGAAGAAGAAAGTGTTCAACCTCCTACTAAAATACTTAAAACAAATGAAGCAAATGACAAAGAAACAGTAAGATTTTAATCTTCTATTTAATACATTTTATTTATCATTTGTTCTTATATTGTTTGTTTTTTCTATTTAATGAATTTTATTTATTGTTCATTGCAAGAAAAATTTAATTGGGGGCATTAAAACGATAACTATTGGTTATTTGCAGGAAAATTCTGGACATTCTTCAAAACCTGCTAAAACATCATTGTGGTCAGAAAATACAGGATTATCATCTGGTAAAAAGAATCCATCTACTCTAGTTAAGAAAAGTAATATTGGTATAAAGATAAATGCCAAGTCATCACAAAATAAAACATCCAAGATCGAAAATACTGTTTCTTCCGATAAAGAAACAGTTCCACAGTTGGACGAAACACCGAATACTTCAACGAGTACATCGAATACAGTAAATACAGAAACAAAATCTGATAATGTTGGCAATGTTCTCTTGTTACGGTCTCTCGTAGGTGCCTATTCGGATAGCAGCGATAATGATAGCGATTAATAGCAGAAATAATATATTTTTCATGTATATATTTTCATTCAATAGAACATAAATATTGTTATATAAAATAAACGGGGTCTACAAAAACGTATTTGTATAAACACGTTATTTGTTTTAAAATATGTGATATATGTATCGTGTAAAATTTTAAATTTACATATTTTAAGAATGTGTACATTCGAATTAGATATTAGACATGTACATGTAAATAATTTCTTGTAAAATCCAATAGTGGTCGCGGGTTGATATTTAGAGGCTGTGCCGACGGTTACAGAGTTTCTTACAGGATGCCGAAGGTTCTACTCCTAAAACATAAAAGGATACATTATCAGAAATGTAGAAAAATTGGTATTCGATCTGTTTGCAAGGCTAGGCACTCTGTAAGAAATTCTGTCGTCATATTACATCCGTACCGATACAATATAGCAGGGAGTACCTAGCCTACCAAAACAGGCCATAATTAACACATTTGAGACAATGAAAGAACTATAAAAAAACTTTAAAAATGATATTGCAATGAAAAATATATACAAATGAAAATTCATATAAAAATGATCGGTCTCGAGTGTGTCAATAATGTCCACTTATATCTGTAATGACAACGATTAATTCACTAAAATGGATATTTGCAAATACTATGTTATTATAATTTATAGAATTAATAAAATATTAATTGTCAATACAAAAGCGATAAAATTTTGAAAAAGAGATTCCACGAAACGTATTATATTAATATAGAACTTCAAAATGATATAATTATCGTATGATCTTTCAGGGATACCTACTTTTCAATTAGATCGATACAACTGTCGTCCAGAATGAAATGATTAATTATGATATCTGTAAATAAGATGCATTGTAATGCATATACTGTATATGAGAAATAATAGCATTACGTCGTGCGAATAATCGGATTATATCGTCTAAGAGAGCAGTCATGAAGAGACTGCCTTGGCAGACGGCCACGATATCGACAATAATGTTGTTCACGACGACGACATGACTCCTTGTTACAATCCTTCACATTATTACGGACAACAATAGGATTAACGAAGAAACAATCTGTGTTCTCTGACGAGCTGAGCTCGTGAAATTTGTTTAAGCGACCCGTTGGTTCGCCGAAGGCTTCCAAAGCTGAGGAATTCATCAGCCAACCATAAAGCGATTTCCGAATGCGATGATTTCCAATTCGATGGATTACGTCGCTCCTGAATTTCTTGCATTCCCGTCGACATTGTTCGCAGATGAAAGCCTCTTCCTTATCGGAAGAAGTGCGATGCCAGTCGTTAAGATGAATCTTTCTCGGCGGAGGATCCGAATTTTTCGTGGATAAAACGTGACGCGAAAAATATCGATATCGGGGAGATTCTTGTGAACGCGGATCGACAAAATGAAACGTTGACGCGGATGCTTCCAGTAACGCTCGTCCCGACTCGCAAGAAAAAGCACGTGACAGTCCGTCATCGACGATACCTGACCGAGGTTTGCGTAAATATTTCTTCATAACGTACCGGTTGCTGTCATTTCTATTCTTCTCCCGCAAGCTCACTTCTAGTTGCGCGATGCGATGCTCGAGTCGCGTGCGTTGCGCTTGTGCGCGGTCTTGCTGATCTTCTAGCAGCTTCACCAGCTTTTCCAGTCGCATCACCTGCATCTGTTTGCCCTCCAGCGTAGCATACAATTCCTGAATTGCTTCTGTCTTTATCGCAGTCTGCTTATTGATCTGGATAATTACACATAATTATTATTAGACTGAACTCCGAGAGATTCAATCAACTACGTCTGGTTTAACAGATTTTGTAAAGTAAAAAATTTTTTATCAGCAAGAAATTAGATGCAGAATCTATTCTAGATGATGGTGACAGAAAATTCCATAAAAATATAATAGTTTGTTTACATGATTTGACAGCAGATTGGTGGCAAATATCGAACAAATTGATAGCACAATCTGCATTCGACAAATTATATCGATAGACTCTGCTGACAGAATATAATACTTAATACGGATATCGATAGTGGCGAATCTGCTGTATTTTTCTGATTGAATTAGCTGTTATAATTTATTGGCATTTTACGAACAATTTGTTTTACTGGAAATATACAGGGTGAGTCATTTTAATCTATGGACCCGAATATCTTCCAAATTACGGTATCTACAAAAAAATGGTTTAGATAAAAGTTGACCAGGACAGAGGGAGTCATTTAATTGTACCATTAGTTTTGACCTTGAGGTCAATTTTGAAGGTCATTTCAAGGTCACGATGGTTTTTTTAAATGAGACACCCTATTTTTGACTGCGGATTTCGAAAGAGCGGAAAATTTTACATCAAACTTGTCTTATGAAAAAATTGTTTTTGCGACCTTGGAAAGGTCAAAAATGAAGGTCAAATGCCTGAAAAACGATCTGGTGTACTTTTTCTGTCAAAGTTTTCTGTCAAGCTAGTCAAAGTGATTTACACTTTTACAATTCATTGACTTGTTTCAAGCATTATGCACATTTGTGTTAGCCAAAAAACCACGTCATTTCAGAAAAAGTACACCAGATCGTTTTTCAGGCATTTGACCTTCATTTTTGACCTTTCCAAGGTCGCAAAAACAATTTTTTCATAAGACAAGTTTGATATAAAATTTTCCGCTCTTTCGAAATCCGCAGTCAAAAATAGGGTGTCCCATTTAAAAAAACCATCGTGACCTTGAAATGACCTTCAAAATTGACCTCAAGGTCAAAACTAATGGTACAATTAAATGACCCCCTCTGTCCTGGTCAACTTTTATCTAAACCATTTTTTTGTAGATACCGTAATTTGGAAGATATTCGGGTCCATAGATTAAAATGACTCACCCTGTATGATAGCGAAAGAAATGCGTCAAACAGTAAGACATTGATTATATTATACTTCAGATTTTACAGTCTCAATTAAAAATTAGAAAGATTTATTGTATTTAATTTATCTATTATATGAGAAAATTAGAAAGGAAGCTAGAGAATGTTGAACATTACTTCATCAATATTTTCGTAATTTTCGTTGGGATTTGCCGCATTCGCCTGTTTTCCTTTAAGAACGCTCAACAGTTCGTCCCGAACTTTGAGGAATTTGTTTTGTTCGCGCATCACCCGATCGCGCTGCTCCAATTCCAGTTGCTTTTGTGTCAAGGTGGTCTCTAGCTCCTGGTTTTGCTGAATGACCTCAGCCAAGCTGTTCCGCAGGTCGCTAATCTGTTGCTGAAGCTCCATTGTATTAAGACCCTGGGTCTTGCCATTTTCTTTCGATCTCGCTTGAAGACGATGCTGAATCTCTGCTAACTGGTTTTCCAACACTTCATTTCTCTCTTGCCTACATAGTAAAAATTAAGAATGTGAATTCAAAATTGAACTCCAAAAACAAAAATCAAAACTGAATTAAGTTTCTTAGAATTAGAAAAAGATAAAAAAGTAAATTGAACTGAGATTAAAATTAATCTTATATTGATGGAACCAAGCCTTAGACTTAATATAATTATGCAAAATGCTCAAGCTGATTACTAGAATATTAAAGTTTTTTGCATCATAGTTCATCATGCTTGAATTTTCTACATAAATATTTTGATGGTCCAACAAAATTATTTTCAGATCTATATCTAGTTAAATTTTTTTAAAGGTTTTAAAAAAATTATTTTTTCTGTATTTGAAATGGAAATATTAATTTTCATTAATTTTATCTCATATTTAAAGACATTTTATAGATACACATTCAAGTATCCAGTATAGCAGACATTGACAGAATAATATTCTAACGTGACGTTGAAGCGTACGCGAATCTGGCAATCTTCTGGAGCCGGGCGTGCTCTAACATCAGATTTTGAAGATCATGAGTCTTGGTTACAAGTTCAGCGGCCAATCTATCCTTCGTCTCGTCTTCGTTATCGTGGCTCTGTTGATGAAAAAAAGGACTACTAATTAAAATTAATTTTAGAGAACTTATACAGGAGACGAAAATCACAATCTAACAAGCGAGAGAAAGCGAATTAAACGGTTTTTAGTTCTTATATGAGCAGAAGTCCCGAAAGTAGTGCAAACTAACAGCCGCCTGATGCATCACAGCGACAATCTCTTGCTTTTCCCTCTCGAGTTGCTTGATCTTCTCCTTCTGTTTTTCTAGCTCAACTCGGGCTGCCATCAAATCATTATACAGACAAATCTCGTTCTCCGTATGACTATTATCTAAAGGCCGATAATTGAAATGAAAGCTTTTGACGAATAATATATAATATTCTGTGTTGATGTTTCGTTTAAAATATGAGAAATTTCCTCGATACTTCGAAATTGCTGAGTTTATCTACCTGTAATAGCTATATTATTACTCTTCTCAGACGCGAGATCGCAGAGCAGCTGACTCTTCTCTTCAAGATGTTTACAACGTTTTTCCATTTCAATTAGAGCATTTTCAGCTTGTTGCCTACAATGAATTTAATACTAGAATTATTTAATAGAGAATTAAAAAAAAACGATCACAAATTTCCAGATTTTATCTAAGAAAGAGAATATTATACATATATGAATAACGTGAAATATATTTCTTATTTACGTATATATATATTTTTCGCAATAAATTTAATTACAATTTTTCAGTATATTAACATCTTTATAATATGATGCTTGATTGAGCATCAAAATTATTAAAATTACTTGTCAATTTAATTCGCGAGTTTACTACAGTAGTTTAATTGCGTTTATATAGTCCGGAAAAGAATTCGGCGCACAGTTCGAAAGACTACAAATATGGTATATATGCAAATACATATATAGTATATTTAGTAATTCAAGATTAAATTATTTAAGCATTAAAGATCCAGCTTCGACCGTTATAGGTATTTTAATGTTGATTGTGTTCTCACATAAATGGTCTAAAATAATATTGTGTATATTTCTTATTACATTATATATATATTTCTTTATTACCTATTCTCTTTCTTTAACTCTTATTGTTAGATAAACTCTTATTGTTAGATAAACAGGAAATTTAATTGTGATAAGTTGTAAAGGATTTTGTTTTTTTAAAGTTAACATCAAATATATAATATAATATAATAATATAAGGTATATAACATAAAGTATATAAAATAATATAATAATTATACAATCATTTTTCTTTGAAGATACGATTGACAAAATTATTAGTGATTCTTAAGGTAAAACTATACCCTACCTCTTTTTTCTTTCTTCGATGATCTCTACATCGATTGTTTCAAATTTTTCTGATAATTCCTTAATAGTAGCATTTGCTTCCACTTCCTTGCGAGCCATCTTTTCTTTGAGCTCCAGCATCCTAAAGCAGGCAACTTTAAGAAAATACAAAGTAAAAGGGATTTATCTTACCTTTATCAAACAACCTCATTATCTAGTTAAAGATATAAGAGATTTTTTATAGGAATTTAATTTAAGAATAAAACTCTCTTTATTTATCTATTAGTTTAAAATTAATATCAAGGTAAAATAGTACAATTTTGAACATGGTACAATTTTGAATAAAATATAAGGTGAATCTAATTTGAATCTAATTTTGAGGATCAAGTTTGGTAACTCTGATCTCATTATATGATGGATATTAAAGGATACGATACCATCAAAAAAGAAACACACACACTTGAACTTCGAAAATTGGATTCAAATTATTTCATTCAGAATTATATCATGTTTAAAATTGTCCCATCCTACCTTAAGCTTTTATATTTCTTAAAGGTCGAGATTAAAAGAGATCAAGAATTCGGCGAGATTAAAAAGACAACCGTGATTCGAAGCTGTCGCGCTGCTTCTCCATCTTCGCCACGAGGCCCTCGCTGCTCTTCATCGCCTTGTGCATATCTTTCACCCTCAGCTCCATTGCTTGATCCTTCTGCTTCAACTGAACCTCCAATGATTTCAAGCTATTCTGCAGCTGTTGAGTCTTTACCTCCTCGTTAGCCACGTGCCCCTCCAACTCGCGAATCTTTGCCCGCGCCTTTTGCATTTGAAGCTCCATCATTCTCGTCTTATCTTTCCCTTGATTCGCCTTGTCACGCTCCTCTTTGAGCTCCTCTAAAGCGACACTCAGCTGCTCCTGTAGCAGGTCCCCGCGATCGACATTCGGCTGCGCCTCCTTCACACGCTCGCAATAATTGTCATATTCGCTACGCAGACTCGAGGATCTCATCGCAAATTCGGTGACGAAGTCCTTCTGGGCCATTTTCAGATCGTCCAGCTGCGTTCTTATCTCCTCATTGTCTCGCGTGAAGTTCGCTTGCCGTGCCTCCACCTCCGAATAATTCATCGGGATCAACATGTTGCCCACCTCGTCCTGTCGGCTCGATTCTGTCAGCCAAAACTTAACGAGGGACGCGAACGACGAGCTCTTGTCCAGGGCACGCTGACAGATCTCTTGGGAGCGTTCGCAAAGATCTCGCAGCTGATTTTGCAACAGCGACATACCGATTATCACCGACTCGTCCATGCAGATTGGCTCCCGCTGCTCGGCGCAGTCGTGCGGTGAACTTGTGTCGATCGGCGTCGGCGGGCTTTGCTTGGGACATTCCACTTGAGGCGATCTCAACTCCTCGATCTTGCCAGGGTCCTTGCCGCCGACCGCGATTATCTTCTCCCGCAGACTCGACATCTCGTCGTACAGATCTTGCACCATTTTCTGAAGACATGCAACGGAGAAGAATATCATTTAATGGAAAGAATGGTTTTACTGTATCTAAAAACTAGATACAGATCTGAAAATAATTTTGTTTGGATCATTAAGTAATTATGTAGAACATTTAAACTGGTTGCTAGAATATTAAAACTTTTTACAGCATTGTCATCAACATTTGAGCGTTCTACATAATTATTTTGATGGTCTTTATATATACCACCCAAATCTCTGATCTCATACGTTCGAGAGAGAAAAGAATTCCTAAAAATTCCTATTATAACTACTATTTATATAATCCTACTATTTCTAATCGCGTAACTGTACATAGGAAATCACTTTTAAAAATAATCATTACTGTCCGACAGTTACTTGCTTATCGAGGAGCGCCTTTTTCAGATTCGTGTATCGTGTTCTTTTTGAACTATATTGTATTTCCAAGTGACGTTTTTCCGCGAGAACCGAGTTCGTTGGCTTTTTAGACGGCAGCGCATTCAAAGTCTTCATGCTCGGTCGACGAGCGGAATTGTTGTTGGAGCTAATCCCGCTGGAAGTCTCTTCGTTTGTTGGATAACTCGTCGAGTCGCCCTGTGAAGAGATTATAAGTATGTTTTTGACAGGCAATGAACAAATATATCAAAAAATTTCGTTTCGTAAATTATTACAAATAATTATTTTGAATTAAGATTAATTATTGTGAATATATTAATGATTAGATACATTTAAATTAGATGGAAGCCTCTAGATATATCTATAATCTTCTAATATTATACACAAAGCTATTTGACAATGTGCCAAATAATTAACGTACTTGCATGCCATTTCGCCCGAAATGGGTTGTTGGAATTCTACTCTTGATTTTATTTCCAGTACTCAATATAGTCGATTTTTTTGAAGTATTTGATGAGAGATCTTCCGCTTTTTCTATAAGGATACGAGAACATAAATAAATATATGCTCTTCTTCACTAAAACAATTACTGTAATAATACAGTAAATATGTTATATGATTTATACTTTTAGCTGTATTTTACAATTTTTGTTTTTTCTTTTCCTTCCATATCATAAAGATATATATACTTTAAATTTGTTTTTACAATTCTTCCTTCATAATCTTAAAGAGGCTATCAATACACAAATAAGAAAAGTTTTTGACTTCACAACAATATTGCTATCATCGTTAAATATTACAATTTTTCCATTTTACCTTACAATTTACGAATATGCAATGACAAAAATACAAAGACTGCAATATATTTTTTTTTAAATGCAAGAAGGATAAAGCCGGTGGTATACGATACTTTCTTTCCTATTGGATTTTTAGCTGAATTTGCGTTTTGCTATCGTATTGACTTCAGTACTAGCAGTGTCAGCACTGCAGTCAATACAGTAGCAAAACATAAATCCAATTAGAAATCAAGTAGGAAAAAAATCATCGCATGTCATCAGCTTAAGAAGATGCGCATAAAGAGAATATATCTGTAAATGCAATGCGGAAAGTGCATCCCAAATTACGCATTGACAGTCATCATTATTTGGATATAACCTATAATATTTTAATGTAATAGTATTTTAATACAGCGATATAATATTTTTTTTTATTTGTGTATAATATTTTAATATATTCATTTGTATAATAATTTTGAATCATTTTAAAACGAGGTTATTTTAAATCAAAACTATATTTAATTTTAATACAGTGTATCTTTCTCATAGATTAATCAGTTACGATTATTTTATTATAATTATTTTTCGTTCTGGAAGACAGTAAAAGCGAAAAGAAAATAATATAACGTCAATTATTTAGGTTTTTTTTTTACAATAATTCTTCCTTCATAATCTTCAAAGAGGCTATCAATGCATTAAGAAAAGTTTTTAAGTTCACAAGAATATTGCTATCATCGTTAAATATTACAATTTTTTTATTTTACTTTACAATTTACAAATATGCAATGACAAAAATAAAAAGATCACAATTTTATGTAACAAGAGCTTTGATGCGAAACAACCTGAAGAATTTATTGCGACCGCTTCGCTCAGCATTATCCCAACTCCTTTTCACGTAATGTTAGCGCAATCGGTGACAGTTGGATTTGCGAATGAATCTGTGACACTTTCGAAAGGGATGACTTCGAGGAGAGTTTTAATTTCGTAGTTTTGTTGGTTGGACAACGAGATGACCGAGCATTAACATTGGTTCACGTGAGACAATCGACGACTTCGAGGTGTTTTGAAATCGCGATTAATTTTACGTTGGACGTCCGTGCAACGTGACTGCGATTAAATATGACTAAATATGACTGCAACTAAAAACCGATTAAAAATATTTTTACAGCATACATATCAGTTTTATAAATTAAATTTGTAAAATATTCTTGAAATAATTTTTAAATTAAAATGCAAAGAGTTTATGTCCAGAGAATGATTTTTTTATATTATACATGGTGTTCGTAAATTGATACCGGTAAGAGATAATTCTGCATAAAAATAAGTTGAAAATGTAAAATAAATATGAGATAATAAAATAAAATAATAATAATTTTTTTTTTCATATGAGGTTTGTTTTTGAGAAAATTGATTAAATATTTAAATATTTAATTATATTAATACTTAAATATTTGATTTTAAATATTCGTCGGGTACATGTGCACGTTAATATGTCTTAACTTAATGAATCTCGCTGTAGATTGTTACAAGAACCAAGATTTTAAACTTACACACACATATGATGTCTTTTTATTATTAAATTTACTATTAAAATATTTTTTTCTCATGCTTGTTTATAGATAAATTATTAATACATGTAAACATATAGTATACATACATAGATAAACATATACATATAGACATATATATATTGGTTTTATCAAGTTTACAAAAAAAATCTCATTCCTATACTACTCACATCAAATACAAATTAACTGAGATTAAAGAAATAAAAATCAGATTATTAAAAAGTTGTTATTGTATATTTTCGCGATATTTCTACATATCATTTTTTAATTATGCAATAATATGTACAACTTGCATTTTTATTCCTCTTTGCAAATGGGATGTCCGCAACAATCTGGATACACTTTTGTTTTATCTTCATGATATCCTATCTGTGTTCCCGCACAGTGAGACAAGGGACATCTAAAATTAATAGAAAATTTACGTCTGATCTCTGAAGAGCACTGAACTTCACAAATTGCTTACTTACGCAAGTGCTTGCATTTCTGTCCCTTCTGCGGAACATTTTACTGTACAGCATTCGCAGGTATTAAATGTCTTCGTAACACTTTCGGGACAATTCTCTAGAAATATTAAAAACATAATTATAAATTGCGTATGATTTGAATAATTACAAAACATATGTCGATCATATCAACTAATAAATATGATATTGTTTTCTTTAAATCAAATATAAAAATGTTCTCGATTTATTATAATTATAACATAATTAATTATAAAAATATAAGATCTTAAACAAGAAAAACATATATATTTAATTGATATCTATCTAATTGAATTATGATAAGTCAGTGATACGCAATCTGCCAATTAATTTCCTGCAGCCCGCCGACTCACAGCCGAAAATCATATTTTCCATTTTATGTAAACTATCAAAATGATAGTTTATGTGTAACAATTTCATTTGAGATACATTTAAAAAAGTCTTTAAAAATTTATATTTAAAATATAGCCTATATTTCATAAATAAATGACATGTTTGTAAAATATTTGATTTTTATAAATCTATTTAGCTTACTTATCACTATCTTAATTATACTCCTGATTTATTATTTCATTACTAATGATTAAATTCAATAATGATTTATTATTAAATAAATAATTTTGTTACTGAGATCAAAATCAAAATTAATTATTCTGATAGTTATTTCTACACAAAATACAGTTGTGTAAAAAAAATATTTAAAAACGATTATGAAAATGAATAACTGGAATAAATGGACAGATAAAAAAATTTTATTTTAATATTATTTTAATAAAGAAATATACATTTATAATTTCCTTATATGATGAAATTTTTTATCTGTATATTTTATATATTACGTATTATGTAATAATAGGATAGAGCGGGGCTATTTGAGCATTAAGGGGCAAGTTGGTCAAATGCAAATATCTAAATAACCAAAATATATATAGATACGTCTATGCTTGCGTAATGTAGCACAAAGACAGAGATTACTGTACCTTAATACAATAATCTGTGTCCGGCTGTCAACAGCCAAATACGTGTGCTTTTTCGTTTTTGTATATCAAAAGTAAAATTATTAAGTGAGTTCTTTATGTCATAACTGACTCGTAGCCCTTCTTTTAACTATTGATTTATTAGGTGAGTATTCTTTTTGGTCTATATGGTAATTAATTATCGTGTTTTTTAATTTTAATGTTTAAGTTTCTATTTTATTTACAGTTTTTTAGTTATAAAAAAGTATTTCACAGTCAACACCGATACGGGGCTTGGTGGGCCAATATCTCATAACTAACTTTATAAACTCAGCTGCTTAAATGAAATCTGTCTTTATCAACTTTTTATTCTATGTTAACGATTAAACATATATTTTACGTTTAATTATTATTAAAGAGTAAAGATTTTAGTTTTATATATTATAATTTTGTTAATTAAAGCATTTAAAAAGAAAGAATGTTACAAATTATTATATTTAAGATGCAAATAATAAAAATTTGATTAATATACACATAATCCTTTCATGTTTTTAATAATATATAACCTCATTAAACGATTATCTTCATGGCTCAACTTATCCTTCGAGGATGCTCAACATACATAGATGACGCGTATTGGTCTACTTTGCATCCTTGTAATTAACGTAATTTTTTTCTTATTTACGAGATATATTAAGGATTTATAATATAAGTACTTAATTATTGAGCCAGATGAATATGCAATATTTTAAAGCATTTACCATTAGTCTATCATAATTATGTGAAGATTTATAATAATTTAAAGAAAGAGTATCACAACTGGCCCCACTCTACCTTATTGAGTTAGCGAAAAAGTCTTTTTACAAGTTGGTAAAAATCCTTTCTCCATCAATATCTTCGTTAAAAATGATCAAAATTTAAATTAAAAAGAACAGTTTTAAAGCTTAAAATCTCTATTTTCTAATGCTTACTATATTTTTTGAATTTATGTGAGTTTTGTAATTTTTACATATAGAAAATTACGAGCTAAAAAAAATAAAAAATTTTCTTTTCATTTTGTAGGTCTGTAGCGTGCCCTAAAAAAATTTGAGCAAATTTTAAACTATCTATCGTGAAAGCTTGAAATTTTCCTTACAAAATCATTTTTTTTAAATGTTCCTGCGATTTTTTGTTCCTGAATTGCTCGCGGATTAAGTAAAAAAGAACATTCTGATTTTATTGCTCGTAACTTTGTTAAAAATCATCGTATCGCAATTATAAATACAAATTCTAAAAGATGAAACGTTGTTCTATCAAGTAATGTAATTGCCAATTTTTTAAAAATAGAATATATGGGTTGCTAAAAGAGTCTTTTTACTAACTTGTAAAGGGACTTTTTCCCCTAACTTAATGTACAAATTCTACATTGTAATCAATTTATTTAAAAAAAAAAATCTTTTTTATTAAGTGCCACATAAACTATTATGTAATAAAGATAAATATATTATAGAATACATAATTAATAAAATTGTAATAAATATATACGTACCAAATTTTGGAATTTGTGTACTAAAATGAATCAAGATGAGAAATATACATAATAATCCGAAGTGTTTCATCTTGCTGGATTACGTTGAATGAGATGAAAACAGTATCGAAATGCGAAAATGTTCTCAATATATATTTATTTTCTTGAACTTTGATCTTTCTGAAAAGATTAGATAACAAGAGAGTTCAGATTTTATTAAATCAAGTTACACGTAAACAATCTTCGCAGATATTTATATAATATAATGTCAGTATGTGGATTGTGTGCAGGCTACACTTTTAAAATAATGCTTCGTCTTTGACATGAGTTTCAAAATAAAGCATAGTGTTATGCAATTTAAAGATAGCGATATAAACAAGTTTTAAGTAATAAAAATCATAACAAATTTATCTTTTAAAAAAAGATAAGAAAAAGGCGCCAAATGTGCGTACTCTTCTCAGAAAAAATCGTTACATAAATTATTATACGCGCTTGTATATGCGCTCCTTGAAGAAAAAAATGACTTCCTATTCGAAATCTATTTTCCAAACTATGAAAATATATAATAATATATAATAATAATATATAATAATAATTGTTTTAAAAAAATGTGTGAGATCTTTAAATTGCGCCAATTATAAACAGAAAATACATTTCGTTGAAACACTAATGTTATATAACTACTTTTTAAACAAAAATACGTGAAAATAAGAGCATCTAATTGAAATAAAAAATTATAATATAAAAAAACTTAGCTAAACCAAGCCAAATTTACTAGCGGCGCCAAGTTTTTTTATATTAACATTTTTTTCATTTCAATTAGATGCTCTTATTGTATTTTCATATATTTTTGTTTAAAAGTAGTTATATAACATTAGTATTTCAACGAAATGTATTTCCTGTTTATAATTCATCTTGGATGCTCGCAACTCGTTGACTCGCGTAAAGACGCAAGGCGATCCCGCACTGCACGTCCACTTGATGCGAGACACTACCGAGTCTTTTGATCTCTGCTCAGATTTGTGTTTATTATATTGGCTAATCGAGAACAATAAAAACAAAATATTCACTCACAATAAATTTTATTACTTTGTAAATATAATTGTTGCCCGTTCAATTAAATACTCAATTCTGCTCTTCGAAGTAAATTCCTATAAATGCTTTTTAACATGTTCTAGTATTTTAATTTATTAATTAAATCCGTATCCGACGAATAATTAAAGTCAATTTACTAGAAAACAAAGTCATATATGAAAAAATTTTATTCTACATTTGCGACTTATTTTTTCATATAAAATTACTCTTTTCCCGGTTATACTATCAGTTCACAAACACACTGTATTTAAAAAATCTAAATAATTAAAAAGTTATTGTAATATTAGCGACAAAAGCTGGAATAATTTTCTTCTTGCAATATAAAAATTAAAAATTAAATAAGACTGGAAATTAAATGGGGACTAACGAGGAAACGATTTTTTTTTCTAAATTTATTCACATATATAAATATTTATCGGAAAGTAAAGCGATATTATTAACGATGAATAAATCATGTTTTTTTTCAAACGTGCACGCGCATTTATTAAGCGTTTCTCGGAGCTTCCTGGAAAACATACATTCATAGAATCGGTTGGACAAACGGCGCCACTCCAATTGCTAAAAACTGAAACAAGAGTTTCGTCATAATCAAACAAATAAAGCAATTCATTAGTGGACAAGGTCAAGTTAATTAGTTTAATTTAGTCTTTTCTACGTATCGCGGTTAATTAATTGTTGGTACACATTTTAAAAACAAACTTGCGATTCGTTTCATGATATGATGCAATTGGCAATAACTTTGTACGTTTGGAGTATAAGTTATTGATGAAGTTGTCAAACGCTTTGGAAAATGTTGGGAAAATTATTAAAACAGTGATTGAGCGCTTCGAGAGTACTTCGACAGATGAAAACTGATTTTTACAGAAATTCAATTTAAAGGCCAATATTAAAAATTTGTTTTTTGAATATTAAAAGTATTGAACATCAGTTTTTAATTACACTCAAAATAAGTAATTAATTACTATTTTCCATGTATTTTCCATGTATGTAAATTAGAGGACAAGCAGTGATAGCTTTTGCATTTGCAAATAAAGTATAGCTTTTCATTTTAACTCTTTATACATTAAGGGAATTCTGAAGTCTATTTTACTAATTATTTTTCAAATAAGTATCTTTCCAACTGTCTTTATATATATATATATAGATTTATAATTTCTTTTCCACAATTAAAGTATAATGTAATCCAAACCAGTCGACTTTATGCCAAAAACGAAAAAAAGTTGAAAAATTACAGTTTTGTTACTGTCTCCTGATGTCGACTCGTAACAATATTTGATTTGTCCATATAAAACAATCTTGACTAGACTTTATATGAACAAACAATATTGAATTCTTCGAATTAGGTTTAAATACCTAATATAATAATATGAAAGATTATAAGTCAGAAAATTTGCATGCATGTGTAAATCGTAAATCGTATAAGGTACCTGAGCCGAATAAGGCCGAGGCACCAAATAAGGCCCACTTTTAAATTTATTACTTTAAAACTCGCTTTACGCCTGCAGTATATGCTTAAAGGATGCGTCATAGGAAATAGATAAAAAAGGATTAAAGAATTGGAATCGGTAACAATACGTTTGTTTAATACAACAAGAACTTGTGTGTATGAGGTTAGTATAAGTCATTTTTATAACAATCTGCTGCAAAATTTACCGGTATACAATGTTTTATAATTTATTATAATTCATTATAATATTATTCAACTTCCTAACTATGGAAAATGACTATGGAAAATGACTAATAAATCAATTTTTTGAAATAGGGGGGGGGTATAAGTATTTTTTTTTAAAACAATATACTTATTAAATAAGGCCCACTTATGTGATTATTATTATAGCTATTATATATATATTATTTGTTTGTTATGTATGGAGTTTACGCCTAAAAATATACAATAACTATATATATATAAAAATATATAATAACGATTTTCAATGTTGCTATCTTTTAAGAAGCCAAAATTGCATTCAAATTGTTAGAAATTTCCAAAGATTAAAAAGTTAATTACAAACAAAATTAAAGATAATTGTAATATTTGAGAATAGAGTAAGTCCTAAGGAATTTCCTTTCTACGATTAATAATTATTTTAAAACTGATTTAAAAAATAAATGTTTACTTTCTTTGTTATTTTTAATTTATTTTTTATTTAGGCCTTATTATATTCATATGCATGTAATAAGGCCCAATGTCAGAGTTTAACAAAATTTTTATTTCGTTCATTTACACATATTCTATATAAACAATATATTTTATTTTTGTAAGTGAATGAAATGAAGACTTGATTCTCATTTAGTCCATTTCAATATCTCTATAAATATAATTTTAAGAAGATAAAATAAATTAGGTAGACCTTATTCAGGTACCTTATATGTAAGTTCTACTGAATTGATAAAACAGACGACTTTAGAATCCTTTTAAAGCTTGGAACTGCTGATCGCAAACAACCAACAGATACAACAAAATCGGCAGGAATATCGAATAAATTTGTATTATGAGATACTAATGTAGTGCGAAACTTTTCTACAAATAATCGTCCGTTTTCTTTCTCTCGTGAGATGGAAATCTACAAACGAGAATATCTGAAATTGAAAATTCTAAAATTACGATTGCAATTGCCACATGGCTGCAGTAATGTTAATTTATAACACTGCGTGTCACGGGAGAAATAAGCACGGCAGCCTTTCCTCTTTTTCTTATTACAGAATTTATCTATGCGTTCTGCATTTACTTATAAATTTATATACTCAAAAAACATACGTCCACTTATTTATTATCACGGATCCACACATTTATTATCAGAAATATACAGATATTATATTTCTTAGGTAAAACCCCTAATCATACTTTATCCGGGATACATCTTGGGGATGTCCTTAGAATGTTCAAAAGACATATGGACGTCGCCTGAAAGTCTATGTTATTAAGGACGGTTTTAGATAATTTTCAAATTATTGACAAACTTTTTCGCAAATTATCATAAATCAAAAATCATACATTAATCAACCTTCAAATTTCGAATACATATTAATGAAAAACTCATTAATGTCCATTATTATATTTAAACTTTTTGTTAAAAAAGAACAGATTATTTTTATTGTAAATTTATTTATTAAATAAATTGCAATAAATTTTCAAGTTTTACTCATAAAAACAGATAACGAAATAGACATACAGGGTCATCGAAAAGTATCGGACTCCCCTAATATCTTCAGTTAGAATGCATTTTGGAGAAAATGTCCAATAGCAAAGTTGTATAGTTTCAAGTGAGGAGTAAGATGATGACCTTGACTTTGATCTTGACCATGTCCTTTAAGGTCATTTCAAGGTCAACCTTATTTTTTTAAATGGAACCCCCTACATTTTATTGCATATTTTTATAGCTTATCTCAAGAGCTTTCCAAAACACTATAATAAAACATTTTTTCATTAAGTATTGGGTGGATCCATATATTCGTTCGGTGTTTGTTAGTAGTGCAAATTTTTTCCGAATATCTCCGGTTCTCGTTGCCTAATCGAGCAATCCAAATATGTTTTGGAAAGATGACAGTCCGCTCTTTTCATCTGTCAAATTTGGTTTCATTGGCATTAGTTTTGTTTGTGCTACAGGCCTGTGAACATGTCGGAAAATAAAGTGCATTTTCGGCACATTTTGCTTTATTACTTCAAGAAAGGCAAGCGAGCTGCGGAGGCCCACCGAAAGATATGCCGCGTATACGGGAACGATGCCTTAACAGAACGTGCCGCTCAGAAATGGTTTGCCAAATTTCATTCCGGAGATACGAGTCTTGAAGATGGACCCCGCAGCGGTCGGCCCACCGAGGTTGATTCGAATGATATCAAGGCACTGGTTGAGCAAGACTGGACGCTAAAGGTGCGAAAGATTGCGGAGACACTTAAAATAGGTTATGGAACCGTACAAAGGCATTTGCAAGCTTGGCTACGTGTTCCGCCTCGATGTTTGGGTGCCGCACAAGCTGACCGAGGAGAATCTGGCCAACCGCATATCCATCTGCAATTCACTTCTGAAGCGGCACGAAAGC